AAGAAAAGAAGAAACACCTTCGTTTACTGGTCCTTCAAGAAGATTAGCATGGCCACTGTGCAAGTTATTAAAAAACAAACAAACAAACAAAAGAACTTCGCTCACCGGTCATTCTAGACATCGGGACGGTACAGAGAATATTAACATGGCCCCTGAAAAAGAATAGTACAAAAAAAACTTCGCATACTGTTCCGGTCTGAACCACCCAGCCACAAAAAGGCAAAAAAGGGGGAAAATCAACGAGTAAGGCAGGTAGACAAAGCATAGCAAATAGAATTACAGAAGGCACAGGACGCTGGCTGACAGGAGCTGAAAACGCACACGCACAGCGCAAAAAGCACACGGGCCTTAACTTTTTTTTCCTATTTGAAGTTCACACAACTCCAAAGCCGTACACGCAGCGCTAACTCAATAGTAGAAATTTCATGCTCATACTTATCTGTGCAAAAAAAGCTAGCACGGGATCCATATAGCTAAAATACTGCTCACGCCCTCGTCAAAAGGCAGGAGCGATGCTCACACTTATCTGTGCAAAAAAAGCTAGCACGGGATCCATATAGCTAATACTGCTCACGCAATCGTCAAAAGGCAGGAGCGATCCATATAGCTAATAATGCTCACGCCCTCGCCAAGCGGCAAGATGAATAGTGAATAGTGAATGGTGTAGTGCAGTGCAATAGCCGCTGCTGGTAATAGCGCATCTTAGCAACTATAGATATTGCTGCCGACTTCTCTGTCGCGTACACTTAGTCATCACCTCCAAAGCACTAAGCAACTAAGGCAATGCAACTGGGAACACCCGAAAGCTACGTTCTTTCAGCGCATCGCATTAATAACTGATTGCTACAGGTTGAATCGAAAAGAAACACAGAAAATAAATAACACACGTTCGTCGCTGAGGGGGTTTCCTACGTGGTGACGGACAGGGGACAAGAAAGCGAACTGGCAGGCGAATATCCTTTTTTCCCTTCATTATGGTCTTCAAAGGACTCTCTCTCTCTCTCTCTCTCTCTCTCTCTCTCTCTCTCTCTCTCTCTCTCTCTCTCTCTGTGTGTGTGTGTGTGTGTGTGTGTGTGTGGTCGGTGATAGTCTTGCAACCCGTGGAAGTGCTGTCTACCCATATAAAAACAGTACTACAGAGCTATCGACTACCGGTAGGAGAGTATATCTGAAACCCAAGGAGAGAACCAGACAGAAAGACAACACACAATACGGCAAGAAGACAGCACACTCGGTCTTTTCCTTCTTTCTATCCCTCTTTCGTTCACTTCAATAAGTTTCCTTGCATTTTCTTTCTTACTCTGCTTCTTTTTTTTTTTCCCTTCCTTTTTCTTTCCTTTTTCTTTACTTTTTCTTTTGCCAGACGTGGAACCATATGGCAAACAAACAACTCATCGCAAACAAACTATATTTGTTAATTACCCTCATGTCTGCCAACAGCGCCGAATTTCGAACCAAACCTCTGGCAAAAGAAAAAAGTACAGAGTATAGTATACATTTGTTTGCCATGGTTTGGTTCGCACTTATCTTCTCTACTATTTTCCTCTTTTTTACTTTAGCCAACCAATATTAGTTACCAGGCACTACCGTAGTAAGTTTTTTCGGTTTCTCACTTTATTTTACGCTAGGCCTGTATACCGTACACTACCGTCTTCACCCGAATAGAACGCCCGGTCATTATAGTAGTAGCCGTATTTGGTGCACTTTTCAGTCCAGATTGCAGCTATAATGACCAGGCGTTATATTCGGGTGAAGACGGTAGGGCCTAACCTGCGTGTTTAACAAGGATGTCCTCATTTTCCATTTCTTACTCTCTATCTGGCCTAACCTGGGTGTTAACACGGATGCCGTTATTTCCATTTCTTACTCTCTAGTTGACGTCTTCAGAAAACTCTATCGCAAAGTTCACCCCACGTGGTGCACCCAACCACAGATCTAGTTGACGTCTTCAGAAAACTCTATCGGGAACCACAGGTAGGCGGTAGGCACATTCACAGCAAGAATTGTGAGGGGCAGCAGGTCCTTCCACGTCATCCATCATACACGCCCCGAAAAAAGCGAGAAGCACAGAAACAGAGAGAGAATATGCACTAATCAGACAAAGGAAGTATACACTACTGTCCTGAGCGACTGAGAAATTATCCAATACTCTCACAAACAGGTTCACGATCAAGTATAGAGAACAGAAAGAGGAAAAAAGGGATTCATCAGTTACGTACCTACCACGTAGTCGACGAATCAGGATTCCCCAATTTGCGATCAATCTACTTACGATCGGATTACTTACGATCGATCTTCTTTTTTCTTTTTTCTTTTTTTTCAAAAAAATTGGACCATTTCTCGATTTATGCGTGTCATCCTTGATTGCGCAGGGGCCATGCTAATCTTCATTCTCTGTATCGTTCCAATTTTAACGGATGTCCCGAAGGACACGATCGATCTATTTACGCGCTCAATTGATCAGAGCACCTTACGGGCTCAATTTACGCGCGATTTACGATTAATTTACGACCAATTGACTAGGGATGGCCTAAACTGGGTGTTAACAAGGATGGCCTAAACTGGGTGTTAACAAGGATGGCCTAAAAACTGGGTGTTTACACGGATGGACTAAATTGGGTGTTGACTAGGATGGCCTAAACTGGGTGTTTGTCTACCCCACTTCGTGACCTTATGGGTATAGCAGGATTTGAACCTGCGACCATTAAGTTAAAAGCCCAATGCTCTACCAACAAACAAGGATGGCCTAAATTGGGTGTTAACAAGGATGGTCTTAATTGGTCGGAGTACCTTACGAGCTCAATTTACGAGGTCAATGTATGATCGATTTACGAGCGCTATTTACGATTAATTTATTTACGACCAATTTGGCAGATCAATTTACGATTTACGAGCAGTTAAATTTTTTATTTTTATTTTTACGAGCAGTTCTTATTTCACGAGCAATCGTACAACGAGAGACGAAGATTCACTTAACGAGAGATCAATTGTTCGGAGAACCTTCGGTAAATCCATTGCGGGCGTGGTAAATCCATTGTGGGCACCGTAAATCCATTGTGGGCTCGTAGTCAGGATTCGGTGCATCTAGTCGCGCAAATTTATAGTCCATTGAGAAATCAATCAAGGCTTTTGAATTCGCGAGTACCCCAGGGGGGAAAGCGGGAGGGGGGCGGGAGGAGGGATTATTTATTTAGATATTGTCACAAGAAAAGCGAAAAAAAAGAAAAAGAAAGAAAAGAAGGAAAAAAATGAATTCGAATGAATTCGTTATTTAATCTTCTTCCTTGCACCTCCCCATGTTCAGAACCTCTTGCGTACAAGGCCGCCCACGTGGATATTCGCCCACGTGGATGTTTATCCTTAAAAAGCTTAATAAAGACACCACGCCCTCCTCGCCCGCCTGATGATGAAATACAGTAAGTCAAGTCAGGCTTGAATACAAATTATAGTGACGTCAGAGAAAAAAGGAAAAACTCTACTTGCGTGCGTTTCCTATGGGAACACCTCCGTTGAGATTGGGGAACAATTTCGAAGAAAGCTTGGTACCCTCTTTTCACCCGAATAGAACGCCCGGTCATTGTATCTGTATTTGGGGCAACTTTCACTCTGGATACAGAGTATACGGCCGGGCTGCGTTCTATTCGGGTAAAGAAAGACGCTAGAACATATAGCACGACCCGGTCTCAAAGGATATGATGACACGTACAATTTTTTTTCCTTTGTGACCGGGTCGTGCTATATGTTCTAGCGTCTTCATTTACCCGAATAGAACGCAGAACATATATTCGGGTAAAGGATATGATTGTCACAAAGAACGACGCTAGAACATATAGCACGACCCGGTCACAAAGGATTTGATCTACACCCGGCCTGCGTCGATGTGCCGATCATTCAGCTGCTGGGTGCTGCGGAATTACCCATACAGACACTTGTCGTCGACATGACCGGGCAGCTTTTACGGGTGTAGATCAAAATCAAAACAGGTAGAGAAAACAAGGAAGTGGCCTGCACCTGGTCCATTCAAGACGCACTATAAACACACACAAAAAAAAAAAAAAATCCATTCGACTGAAAATAGATCCCCCCACAAAACAAGCATGCAATTCTCAGATGGAAGTGGTTGTTTTTTTATAACTTTCCCATTCTCTTAAGCACTAAGTATCAGTATTACTATTAGTATTAAAAAAAAAAAAAAAAAAAGTGTTACTATTAGTATTACTACTAAGTAATAGTATTACAATTAGCATTAGTATTAGTATATTATTATATACATGCTTAAGAGATGCACCCTATTTTCAATTCTGGGGGGCGTAGGGGGGGGGTTCAATTCCTTTCCACCAGCAACAAGTCATATAAAATATTGCAATACACACTCCCTACACCCCGCCTCTTTGACGCCAAGGGGTCTACACCCCTCCTCTTTGACGCCAGGGAGTCTACACCCCTCCTCATTGACGCCAGGGGGTCTATAGCCCTCAACTTCGACGCCAGGGGGTCTACAGCCCAGTTCAGAAAAGATATGGTCTTCAGAATCATCATACGCTCCACTCCGTCACGCACAGACCTACAGTTTTCCCCCGAAAACAACGAAGGGTCATTCCAGCTGAATTTGGGGTTTCTTTCAGTCTACATACAGCTATAATCATTATGACCCCGTACGTTGTATTCGGGGGAAAACTGTAGGTAGCTGATGTCATTCTCTGCATATAAGCTACGTACCGATGAGCACCCCACAACCGTCTACCCTGTGTGCAAAAAGACCAACCGAGATGTCTTCTCTCTCTCTCTCTCTCTCTCTCTCTCTCTCTCTCTCTCTCTCTCTCTCTCTCTCTCTGTGTGGCTGATTTCATTTAGGCTCGAGCACCCATCTCACTCAATCCACTATACCAATACAACTATTCAAACAAAGGGCAGGAAGAGAGAGAGAGAGAGAGAGCGAGAGAGAGAGAGAGAGAGAGAGAGAGAGAGAGAGAGAGAGAGAAGGAAGAGTAACACATTACCTTGGCCATCACTGGAATGGTAACAGCCTTCTTGATCTCCCTGATCATCTGAGGGTCGCTCATTCTTGCCACTCCACCATGTCTGCGAATGTCGGCAGGGACACGTTCGAGGGCCATTACTGCGTCATCGCCAAAAAAAAAAAAAAAAAAAACAGGAAATGTTAAAAATATCTTGGTCGGGATACAGCCTTGGCACATCCCTACTAACCATCACTGCCTCATCCCACCCCCAAAAAAAAACAGGAAATGTAAAAAAATATCTTGGTCGGCATCACTGAAAACAGGAAATGTCACATCTCGTGGTCGGGATACATACTTGTCACACATCCCTACTAAGATAACCACCAGTTCCAGTTCCAGTTCCAGTTCCAGTTCCTCATCGATACAATCTCTCCTTGTACAATAATTACAACTTGTATTACAACTCGTACATACACACACGAGCAGCTTACCTCAACCCCCTGCTCTTTATCATTATGTACCAATTGCCGACCGCATATAGACATACATACATACATACATTCAGACATACATACACGCATACAAACAGACACGCACACATACATTCATACATACATACACGCATACATACAGACACGCACACATACATACATAGATATAGAGTCTGACATACATTCACACATACATACAACCAACTAATATACCTTGGTGGTAGGCAAAAGGGAAGCAGACAACCGCTTTCCATTTATATCCTTAATCGTTATCGTTCTCTTTCTTCATTTTTCACTCTTCGCAGTATTTTTTCTTCCTTTCTCACTCTTCGCAATAACTTGTATTTTTTCTTCCTCTTTCACTCTTCGCAGTAACTTGTATTTTTTCTACCTTTTTCAGTCTTCGCAGTAAATTGTATTTTTTCTTCCTTTTTCACTCTCCGCAGTAACTTTTTTTTTTTTTTTTTCACTCTTCGCAGTATTTATCCTTCCTTTTTCACTCTTCGCAGTATTTTTTATTCCTTTTTCACTCTTCGCAGTAACTTTTTTTCCTAGCTTCGCTTTGCACCCCTCTTCTCCTTTCTCGCAGGCTGAAAGGCCTCCTCGGTACAACTACGCATAAATACGTACACTGGCACGTGCATGCCTTGGGTCTGCCAAAGCCATACATTCATGCATGCATCAACTAACTCCATACATACATAAAATAGGATCATGCATGTAGACAGACGTGCATACATATATTATATACATACAATTATGCATGTAGACATACATACATGCATATACATATGAATACATTCATGAAGACATAGAGAGCCTAGTTGCACCACTGGCCATCCGCCAAGAGTTTGAATGCATCAGAGCGTGCTGACTGTCCAGATGCATACCAATCTCGGTGGATGGCGAGTGGTGCAACTAGGCCCACATGCACGTAAATATGCATACATGCTCTTACGCATGCACATTCATACAGGCACGTATATATACATAACACGGACACGCTAACGTGCGCATGAGAGACGTGCATCCGTGCACATATGCGTACAGAATGCATCTGACCGTGCCGTCTGTCCAGATGCATACACAGTCTTACGTATATATGTTCTTATGCATACAGAATGCATCTGAGCGTGCTGTATGTCCAGATGCATACAGGCACGTATACATAAGCAAGGACACGCTAACGTGCGCATGCGGGACGTGCATCCGTGCACATCTGCAGAAGATAAACAAACAATGCTTAACGTTTGCACATGCACAGGTCAGATTAGCATCTGATACAAAGAGACGTGTGTGAATGGAGAAAGATGGTCATTGTGTTTCGACAAGAAAGAACGACATATCTGTCCCATTCCAGTGATTGTTTCATCCCCATATACACAAACAAACAACAGGAAGGGACCACAAGGCCAAAGAAAAAGAAAAAGAACAAAAAAGAATAGTGAAAAAAAAGAAGAAGAAGAAGAAATAAAAGAAGAAGAAGAAGAAACAAAAAGAAGAAGAAGAAGAAGAAGAAGCTGAAGCAAAAGAAGAAGGAAGAAGAAGAAGAGGAGGAGGAGGAAGTAGGAGCTGATGCAAGGAATGCACACCTGCGACGGCGCCCGCCTCCTCGGCGATCCTTGCCTGCTCAACGTTTACCACATCCATAATGACACCTCCTTTCAACATCTGCGCCAGCCCAACTTTCACGCTGAACGTTGCCTTCCCCACGGCCATGGATGGTTTGAGTTTCGCCGCCGCCACGTCCTCGTGGGTGACCACGATGCCATTCGTCGACGACATGATTGCTAGTGAGAGGACCACCCACGGCGAGCCGCCACGCCCTCCTCCTTCGCTCCAGCCACCTGTGAGCGAAGCTATCAACCAACCAATTAATAACACAATCACTCCATCCAGCGTCGTGATCACTACCCGGTAGCAACCAATCAGTCGAACAATCACTCTATCAAGCGCCGTAATCAGAGTCCAATTTAAGAACCAACCATTCTTATCAATCTCCCACGCCGAGCCTCCACACCTCCTTCGCTCCAGAGCTGAGATATTCAGGACAGCGGCCTGGAATTGGCCGTACTTTGCACCTGGACTGGTTTCTCAGGCTCTGAACCGAAGTTGGGCAATAGTCCCTCTACTTTCCGGGTTTCCCGGCCTGCCCTTCGTGTTTGAAAAAAAAATAAAAAGAGGGGGGGACCTTACGTCCTTGCCTTTTTTCCCTTTTTTCTTTTCACGTAGGGCTTTTGGCTTCTGGTCGGTAGTGACCTTCGCTTACCAAATCGGTTCGGCTTCTGGTCGGTAGTGACCTTCGCTTACCAAATCGGTTCGGCCTTCGGGGCTGGTCGCGCTTCCCCTCCAGTGGGCGGGATGAGGCCACATCAGCGGGTAGCTAGGCAAGCGGTTTGCCAGCTAGCCCCACTGGGCAGATAGAAGGGTAAACCTGGGCTAAGAATAGTGCCATGTGTGCGCGCAGAAAGTGTGAATTTGGACACGGAACTGACCAGGCTCATGTTCGGTAATGGGGAACACCAATGAACCCTGCCCTTGTCTCCCCGAGCCCGGAAACGGCGTGTTGATGCCCGCAAATGGAATGAAAAGCATCTTGTTGGGGCTTCCTCCCAGTGCGAACACCGATGAACCCTGCCCTTTCCGGTTTATGCTCCACAGCATAATTTGGGAGATTTTCCTCGAAGGAAAGGAGGGCTCCACAGCAGGCGGTTTTCGAAAGGGTGGGCACAGAAATAGCTGAAGCATTTGGTGAGTGGATGAGCATGCATTGGGGGCCACCATTCCCGTTCCTTAGACGCCCCGTGCTTTTTGGCTTGCGGTCCACCGGCAATAGAATTTCCCTAAGGGTTGTAGAATACTCATGCGAAGTGATTCTCATAGAAAGCAGGGGTCCCACATGTGGCAAAAGGTTGAGGGGGGCCCGATTTTGTTGGCCGCCCTTTTTCCGTCGGATGTAGACGTGTTCGCTTCACCGTGTCTCGCTCCGGGTTGAGTATTACCAAAGCCCCTTCCCCTACCCAAACAAGCTGGCACGTCAGGGTTGGTCGATTTTCCATTAATATCTGAACCAGCAGGAATGTCCGCGGTCGGAGGTGTGTGACAGCGGAAGTCGAAGGTCTGAGTACCGTTGTCAGCGTGAATACTCTTACAAGGGTATCCGCTCTTGTTTTCACAAGCAAAAGAAATGGAAATTTGAATAAATATTGGAAGCGTTGAAGGAGTTGCGGCCGATTTTCTTGGGGGCCGACAGCTCGTGCGAATGTTTGAAAGAATGTAGAGAGTGTGTGGGTGCGCAATTCAAGGCGCGCTTGATTCTGATGAAATATGGGCAGGCATTGTTGCCAGTGAGTTATCATTGCAATCAACAATAGGACGAAAGGAGGGTTTTTCTTTTGATTTGAGTGAGTATCTGTGACGTGTGTGCGTGACCCCATGGCGACCACATTCAGAATTTACCTCACGTTCGAATAGGAGGATAACACTTTGTTTGTTTTCCATTCTTTTCTTTTATTTTTTTACGCACTTCATTGGTTTTCCATTCTTTTTTTTCCTTTTTTTTCCCCTTTCGGTGGAAGGGTTTATGGAATGTGTCATTTTTCATTGCTGGTTATGGTGGATAGTTTTTTTTTGTCGTATTGTCAAAGGTCAGTCGTTGGTCGGGGGATTCCGGATGAGGTAATGAATGTGTGTGTACGTGTGTGTGTGTGTGTGTGTGTGTGTGTGTGAGTGTGAGAGAGAGAGAGAGAGAGAGAGAGAGAGAGAGAG